ACAACACAAATTACTTTCCTAAAAAGAATTGAATTTCTACATGGCGCTGGAACGTGGGTACAAACAAAAGAAACGCACCACTTAAACATTATTTTGAGAGCAGTCTTACCACACATTTTGGACCCATCAGAAATGCAAACAGCAAGAAGCACCCACACACACACATTCATGAAACGTGAAAATAACCACTAATTTACTGGCATAATAAGCGCTAATAGAATACGATGGTTGGTGTTTATAGAGAGAAGGTCGGATAATAGAGAGAACAAAACTGTGTCTACATTAATTAAATCCGCAAAGACCATGATCGAGATCTAACACGAGACATACCTATTGAAACTTTCAGTTACCCATAAACTGGAAAGAATGAGGGATAGAGAGATTTATGGAAATTTGTGACCTCAACGGCTAAGATATGCTGAACAATAAGAAATGTTTGAAACACGCCTTATAATCACGATAACTTTGAAATGTCCGATTGCTGGAGGCACTAATTATATTTTCTTCTGTTAAGAAAACAGTTTAAAAACCAGCATCTCTGGAATGTCTTAATACAGACTTTCAGCAACTTTGGAATGTCCAACTGTTTGGAAAACTGTTTCCAATAGCAATATTATTGGAATGTCATGGGGGTTGGGAAAACTGTTTACGATAGCAATACCATTGGAATGTCATGGGGGTTCGGAAAACTGTTTACAATAGCAATACCATTGTAATTTCCTACTGTGGAGAATACGGTTTAAAATATCAATACGTCTGGAATATCCTACTGTTGGGAATACTGTTTACAATATAAATAACACTGGAATGTCCTACTGTTGGGAACACTGTTTAAGATATCAATACCATTGAAATGTCCTAATGATAGGAATACTGATTACGATATCAATACCATTGTAATTTTCTACTGTTAAGAATACTGTTTACAATAGCAATACCATTGGCATGTCCTACTGTTAGGAATACTGTTTACAATATCGATACCATTGGCATGTCCTACTGTTGGGAAAACTGTTTACAATATCAATACCATTGGAATGTCTTAACGATAGGAATACTGATTACGATATCAATACCATTGTAATTTCCTACTGTTGGGAATATTGTTTACAATATCGATACCATTGGCATGTCCTAATGATATGAATACTGATACGATATTAATATTATTATAGTTTCCTGGTTAGTTGTGTATCATTTACAGGACGTTGCAGAACTAACCCCAACAGCCCCTGGCTGTTGTGTGGTTTTTTTAGGCAAATCTACGTCCAGTAGTGTGCATTGCCTACTGGACGGTCGGCTTTCTTGATACCACTGTCGAAACCAACGCAAGGCGCATGCCCCGCAGCTGGGATCGAACACCGCGCTCCGGCATTACGAAGCGTTCGCATCGATTAGCCACAGTTATAGTTTCTAGCAGTTTATAGCATGTCCTACTGTTAAGAATGGTGTTTACAATATCAATACCTCCGGAATATCCTACTGTTGGGAATACTTTTTACGAAATCATAAACACTGGAATGTCATACTGTAGGGAATACTGATTACCATGTCAGTAACACTGGGATGTCCTACTGTCGGGAACACTGCTCCCGTAGAAAGTTATTGGTTACAATCTTAAAAAAAAAAATTTAAACTTGAATATAGTCTTTAAAATCTCTAATTGTGAAATACTGCAACAATCTCATTCAGTGTTACTCAACCTCTGCCAACAAACCAGCACCAGTTAGGGGACATTTGATGATGGTCCACCACAATTTTCAACCCAGTCACCTAGTGGCTTAATACATTAACATTTTTTTTTTTTAAATTATTTATTTTGGTGCCATCTGTGTAATATTTTTGGTCTAGTGGACAAGCGGTCTGCGAAACCGTTCTCATATTTTCTTGTCTGCTTGTGTAAAAAAGTTTAAGAACACTGTTTTAAAATAAAGTTAGAATATACTGATGATAAAAAAATGAAAATATTTTAAACAAGCGAATATTTGTTTTTTTTTTATTAGAAAGTGCTCTGTAGGAAAATTCGGTTTGCAAACCAAATTGCACCGAAGATATTAAAATGTATAGACTAATGTGTGCGTTTACAATCTAAAGTAGCATTATGGCTGAAATGATATATGCAATCTCGAATATCCTAATGCATGAAATATTGTTTACAAACTCAGATGTCCTTATCCTTGAAATTGTGTTTTACAATCGCAGATGTCCTTATCCTTGAAATAGTGTTTTACAATATCTAAGGCGTGAAATTTTGCATAAAATATTGTTAACAATTTGAAGTATCCTGATGGAATTAAAACTGTTAATAATATCGGTAACTTTGGAGTTTATCAATTTAATGAATGCACACACAGTTAATAACATTGGGAATTATATTTGCATTATTTAGTACTGTTTTTGAGAGGTCGTTAAATCTTTTAACATGTCCATACCATTGCATTTTTCGCCTTCTCGCTGTAGTTAAAAGAGGTTCAGATTTATCAATGTGTTGTATAATTTTATGACGAGCCTCGTTGTTTGTAATGTGGTCTCTGATTGATATGCCAAGAATTGGTCTGAAACATTGCTTTTCTAATGCTTGTATCTTTCTTTCAAGTTCAGCTGTTGGGGTCCACGTTTCACAGCCATATGTAAATATACTAATAGCTAGTGCTCTGAGCAATCGAATCTTAGTTTTGCATGAAATGTTTTTGGATCTTTATAATGTTTGCTGCTTGGCAAGGACTGATGATGTCTTTTCTAGGGCATTAGTCATGATTCGTTCTTAAAAGATAATAAACAGTGTTGGGTAGAGTAGGCAGCCCTGACATTCTCCTACTGTTTTTCGTAACCTGCTTCCTATTTGTCCGTTCAACGTGACAGCACTGCTGGCCTTGACATAGAGCTGTTCTATACTACTTATGAGGGTTTTACCCATATTTAAATCTGTCAGTGTCCCAGAGTGCTGCATGGCATACTCTATATCAAATGCTTTTTTGAAATCAAGGAACATACGCTCCAAGCTGTTTTTCGTTACTGAGCCTAAATATTCTAAATCTGTGACATTTTTATTCTCTTCGTTGTTAAACTTTTGCACTTGTCCCAAAATTTGGCAGTGCTTACTATTTGTAGAATCATGAGAAAGATAAAAACGCACACAAATATAAGCGAACACTTCGACTAAAATCAGTCTACAGTCACTCCTATTTACACCATAAATCAGCCTACTATATTTGGATACAAATGTAATTACTTCAGAGTCAAATCAGCATGCAATGAGGCGTTAAAAAAGAACGAGGGTCACGTGACTTGCAGGGTAACTTCAAACTAGAGACCATGTAGTTTGTATTTCAGTGGAACTGATTAGGACCTTTCCGTCTTTCCAAACGATAGTGTTATATTGCGCTATGAGGAGTCACGTGACACCCAGTCGAGCAGAGTGCAACGAGCCCGCGTTGGGGAAAGTCCTCCATAATTAAAGCATGAGATTTCAGGATCGTTGTTTTCAAAATTTGTGTGTTTTTTTTTTTTTTCAGACGCTCAGCTCTCACCCTTACTGCAATAATTTCTGCCTTCATTTTGATTCCCTTCCTGATTTGCCCTCCACACAACACTGTCCATTGGCATTTTTAGTTTACACGAGCCACCTCAATATCTGTATCATTCGCATTCAAGTACCGCTTGCACACATCTTTATATTATAATGGAGTTTGGCCTTAACATGTTCAACGCGTCTTTAATTCAACAATGAGAGAATGTCTCTAGGTGAGACCCAGCCATCTGAGCCTTTGTAGACTGAGCACTGAAATTGTCAGTAGAATTAGTTCTATATTTATGCTTTATTGTATATTTATGTAACTGTGGTCATGCACCTGACGAGATACAGCCTGGTGAATTATAACCCCTTCCCTCATTGTAAACATTTAATTGTAACTGCCTAAGCAAAGTCCGGATGCATGATTCTGCGGGCTTTATACGGCATACAGGCTAAACATTCCCCACCACTGACAGAAACAAATAGAGTAATCCCCACCCCTGGCCGGGACAAAAAGTGTACTCTCCCACCCCTGGTAGGGGAGATATAGTAATTCCCCACCCCTGGCAAGGAAAAATAGAGTAACTTCCCCACGTCTGGCAGGGACAACTACAGTAATCCCCACCCCTGGCAGGGACATGTAGAGTAACTTCCCCATCTCTGGCAGGGACAAATAGAGTAATCATCCATCCCTGGCAGAGACAAATACAGTAATCTCCACTCTAGCAGGGACATATAGAGTAAATTATATATCTCTGGCAGGAACAAATAAAGTATTCCCGACCCCTGTCAGGGACAAATAAAGTAATCCCGACCCTTGGCAGAAACAAATAAAGTAATCCCCACCCCTGGCAGGGACAAATACCGTAATCCCCACCCCTGGCAGGGACATATAGAGTAACTTCCCCATCTCTGGCAGGGACAAATAGAGTAATCATCCATCCCTGGCAGGGACAAATAGAGTACTTCCCCATCCCTGGCAGAGACGGATAGAGTAACTTTCCCACTCCCGGCATGGACAAATAAAGTAATTTCCCCACAGCTGGCAGGGACAAATAGAAAAAATTGGATTACTGATACACTAGTTGACAAAAAGAAAACAATCACTTGAATCAAATGAAAATAGTTAGAGTGCTGAAAAATCTTCATAAAATGTGTACAATGCGGTGCAAGAAAACACATACATACACGAAGTATAAAAAGGTTAACAATAAATTTCTGTGCTGCTTTATGATGTGTGCGAATCGTAAATAAAACAAATTACGGTTACGCATGAGACTCTTCATTCAATCGGTAATTGAATGATTCATGGATGATTCATTGACTGATCGATGGCTGGCTGGGCGATCATGTCTCGCAGCAGAATTGACGCCCCAGGACTAGTTTTTCCGACAGATGAGACCGACACATTAGATTCAATGTTGAGGGCCTATCCTCAGCACTTGAGCTGATAAAACGAGCAATCATTTAAAGTGGGAGTTTGTTGTCATGTGGGTAGGTGTTGAACTGCCAACACAAGATCTGAGAAAAGAAGAAATTATATCGTTATTTTAACTCTTAAATCCCACATCGGGAGCCGACACTAAGAAACAGACCTGGCGGGGTGGGGGAAAAAAAAAAGGGGGGGGGGGTTGCCGCATTCCTGTCAATATTGTTAGGGTTGGGATGGAGGGGATCAACGGGCTTAAGCACAGTTTAAGTGGACAATAAGAACAGGTATTAGTATTTATATTTGTGTTGAACTGCAAATAAACAAATTATTATATAGAAAACATTTGATATATGTACACACTTACTTACCAAGAGAACATCTATACATAGATGGACAAATCAACAGCTTAGATATTTTCTGGGAGTTACTTACTCACACCCCCGTCATTAATGTAGTAATTTATTAGGAAATACACACACACACACACACACACACACACACACACACACACACACACACACACACAGGGGGAAGGATAGAGATCTGAACGCTTTGGCAAGACATCAGCAGGTTTTGAAAGCCTGAACAAAATATGGAACTGGAGTGTGTGTTTTTTAAACAACACACACACAAAACTCAAGGTTAAATGCATTTGAAAACAAATGCCTGAGTAAAATTTTAAACATACAATTTGTTGTAATTAAAAATGGGTGGAAAAAAATGACTTGGCAACCATTGGTAACAACATTTATAAGACAGCTAGGAAAGCGCTGTATTTATCACATCCTAACTAGAAAATAACAGAGAATCACTATAAGTATAAGAACTCCACATCGGAAGCATGCACAGCAGGAGTCTACCGATCATCAATAGGTGGGTCCCCTTTCAACAATTGTTAGGGGCCGTTAGCCTCCTAGACAATCTCAAGGGGTGGGCCAACCTGGTTCATGACGCCAGGCCTCTTCTGCTGAGCTTATTCGATATTCGTACAAGACGTAATGGTGGTTTTTCAACATGTGCTTAAGTTTACATATATATATATATATATATATATATATATATATATATATATATATATATATATATATATATATATCGTCACTGCAGTAGCAAATTGTGCGCCTACCTGTACGACCAGAGCGACAAACAGACGGTTAGTTCATCGGACAGACGTTTATCAGACAGACGTTGGCAGTTTGCAAAGTAACACGGGCAATCGTTGATCGAACAACGTTGGCTTTGGAGATATAACAATTGTTATATTTCCACTAGAGGCTCGGGCCAGTCTTCCAAGACCTATCCCCTACGTGGTTCAGTTGCATCCACAGCCAGCTCGAAGCTATTTTTTCAACTTTACTCAGTTGATATAGTGCCCGTTTGTTCTCGTTTCGTCGCAAGTCCAACTGCTTTAGTACATTGTATGTGGAGGTGGAGATCGGCAATCTTGCGCCTACCTCGACGGCGAAGGGTTTTACTGGGTCCCTTTATCGCAACTCAGACTGGCCACCAGGTCACTGTATTTTTCGAGCTTTTACAGGTGGTTTTCCTCTATTTGCGACTCGCGCAGCACGATGAGCTCTATCAGGATGAGCTGGCATTCTGCCGCAGAGTGCCAAATCATGTCTGGTCTCAGGCCAGTCTTTCGAACTGCTTCGAGGTATTTCGAAAAACCAAGTCAACGGTCAGTTGCCAGTCTCTCGCACAGTCAAGTATGGATGGAGCGTACCACTAAACAGACACTAAAATTGGAAGTAAAGTCACTGGGCAAACGAAGACGTCTAGCAGAATGTCGCTGAAAGAAACCAAAGGTGTTTTACTGGATTCTATCCATGATGTAGAAGGAATTTTTACATGTTCGAACGAAATGGGTGAACAGACTGCAAGCCCTATGGGGACATTTAACGACACAACAGGACAATGATGATGATAATGAAAATGATACTTTTTCACGGTGCTTGTAATACTACCCTCCCCCAAACGTAAGACGTAGTTGACATTGTCAGTCAGACAGATGGATTTTCTCTGTCCGTTGAAACACAGGACGGACAGATTGAATTATAAAAAAAAATGTTGGAATCACTCAAATGTACATAGTATTACTGACATTACTTCTTGAACAAGTGTAATTTTTTTTTAAATGCTTAAATAAATGCATATTGTTGTACATGAAACAATTTGAGTAGAGGTAAGTCAACAATTGACATCACAGCACTCAGGGTTTTCCGATCTACGGTCCGTCCGCATCTTCAACAGCAAGCGCAGAGTACAAATACTAATGGTACTGGTCGTCGTCTGGCTATATGTCTGTCTTGCCTTTCCTCTGATTGCAGTGAGCCGGCCAGACCCTCTGGGCACACCCAGTTTAATTATTGTCTCCAGGTCATAATACTCCAGCTTCTCTTCTGACTTCGTTACTTGCTCCCAACGGGCCCTGACTACAACTGCCTTGTCATGTATCAGTTCACCATCCAGTGGTTCAGATCCAGCCAATCTGTCTGCCTGCATTCCCCACCACCCTGGCATAGCCTGGTGAAAAGATCAAAATTATGTTCCCTACCTATGACCTTCCAAGTGAAGCTTGCAATTCTGTTTGAAGCAACCCTGTCTTTACCTTTTCCAGCATGCTTTCAGAGTCTGTTACAATTAAGATTTGTGTATGCATCTTGTTCTCTAGCTACCAGAGAGCTGCAGTTACCACCTCCACCTCGATTCTCATGCTAGATGTTGTGGTATTATATGCTAGTCTGTCCTGCACAGAAGATTTTCCATGGGCTCTCTCTACAACACCCTATGTACATCTCTTCCCTCTAAAAACAGAACCATATGTATAGATAATCTGGGCGAGAATTGTCGTGAATCAATTGTTGGACTTCCATCCCGTAGCTCCTGCTAGCCACTTTCTGCACTCACGGCCTAATGTTATCATGATACTACAAAGGTAAGATTTTTCCTCTGGCATTTTGACCAACTTCTCTCCTCGTCTAATGTTCTCCAGTATGCATATTTGTCTTATTGTGTCTTCTGCTTTAGCCATTCATGATTTTTCCCTTTTCAGCCTCTGATTCTAAACTGCATGCAAAGATTCATTCATACAGAGGTTTATTTTTGTCTGCAGCTGCTCTGAGGTATGACTGCAGCACCTTTTGCCAATCTGCAATAGTCGGAAATGCAAAGATGTATCGCATGCACATAACCGGGTTGTCCCTCGTCTCAGGATTACCCGCATAGCTTCATTCTGTATGCGCTCCAGTTTCACTAACTCACTCTCCGAGGCAGTGAGCATCCCCAGTCTATAATAGGTCCCTGAGATGATTAGGTGCTGTTGAAGAGTGAACAGCGTTCTCTGTTCCATGTCCATTGCAGCCATCATCTTTTCTTGATGTAAGACAATTTTGGGCACTTCTAACAACCTCCTCTATGTGATCCTTGAAAGACAAGAGTCTGTGAAAGGTGATTCCCAGGTACCGCAGTCTGCTGTTTCTTTTTATGTCCCTGCCATGTTTTTTATTATTATTATTATTATTATTATTATTTGAGACATTAAACATCAACTCTAACAATCTTGTTGTCCAAAGAACACCAAAGAACGGTTGCCTTTGTAATTAGAATAAGAATCCTCTGAATGTAATCACTAATCGTCTTTTGTGGCAAACAATTTATATAAAATATGATCTTATTTTTTGAGGAAAATAAGGTATTTTTCATTGGAATCATACAGGAACATCCCATTTTACGCCTTTCCTTGTATCAATATAGTGAATTTGTGTAACATATTTTGTTAGTAAGGTAAACTTCCAACTAGAATTCTAAGTTAATTTTTAACACCCCCCCCCCCCCCACCACCCTCCCTAAGTACTTTGTTTCCGTTACAGTAAGCTAGCAAGAGACAGACATACAGACAAAACACTGACCTCTGTACTCTATGTAATCTCTGCCATCTTGTGTCGATCGAGCTATAAGTTCCTCGGCTTCTTCGTGTGACATCCTCTCTCCCATGGTGGTCAGAAAATGGCGGAAATCAGACACTGTGATCCGCCCTGTTCCATTTTTGTCTAAAACCTGAAAAATCACCAGATAAAAGTCATGCCTTAAGATGTAAACAAAGGATTAGGCGGGAGCTGGCCACTATTCTGCTTGTCTGAAGGTTTTGTGTTCACATACATCTAGTTGCTGTAACCCTTGTGCAGTTTTCATCTGCTCAAGGGTTCCAGCCTTGTCTGGTACGTTATTCTTTCTATTATTCAGGAATCTCTGTGGGATGTGGTCAAGCTTTTTGGCTCGCGCTCTAAAGGTCATGGATCGTTTCACAGACTGCATCCTATGATACAGACAGAAAACACATGCTAGAAACATATCACGGAAAGTAAAGACGACCGGTAATATGTTGTCCGTATAACTTATCGAGTGTCAACTGTTCTTTATCAAAATAAGGTGTCGTGTGCACTTCAACGTGTCATTGGTTGCAATTTATAGTCAAATTATAAATTTCCGTTTCGTGTTGTTTTGCTCTTCTTCACTAGCTAAGTCTGAGGTCGTAATCAGTAACCATATTAAGCTTGATCACTCTCAGAACCAATGTCGTGCCCGCCCATATACAAAGTCACCTACATATAGATTCACCTTTATACAGAATCGAACCCAATATCTTCAGTAACTTGTGGCCACTCCCTAACTCAGTGGGACTTTCGGTGAAACATGGCAAGCGTGCAACTGTGTTGTTTTTTTTTTTGTAATCGTTACAACGCAGTGGTCAATTGTGTTTAAGACCATATTTGTGAGCATAGCTGACGATGCACGCACAAGAAATCATCACAATTTACGGTGAACTATTCACTGCCTACGCCACTGAAACCCTATAAAAGGATAACGCTACACCAAAACGATCATCAGTTCACTTTCAAACAGTCACGAATGGCGCCTGTAATGGTCACTTTCAGGAATATTGCTATTGGCCGATATCAAGCAGGAGAAAGTCAAAGTCAGGTTGCCATGCATCTAAACGTGCATCAGAGTACCATCAGTCGACTTTGGCACCGGTTCCAAGCCATTGGTTTAGCTGGAGACCGACATCGCAGTGGACGACCCAGAGTGACAACAGCAACGGAGAATCGCTTAATTCGGCTCGTAAGCTTAGAGACAGGTTTAAAAAAGCTTCCTCAACTGCACAGGCATTTCCTTCAGGATGTCATGTGTCTGATCAAACTGTTTAGAACAGACTGCAATGATGTTGGACTTCTTTTGGCCACCCAACATCGTCCCTGGGCAAGTGACAATCAGTGAAGACGTGTCTGGTTCAGTTACGAATCTTTATTTTTGTTCCAGCGTCATGATAGACAGGGTAGGGTCTACCATACACGAAATAAAGGTTTATCACAAAATTGTGTTGATAAAACTCTACTGCACGGATGTGGGGTGTAATGGTATAAGGAATTATCAGTTACAACGGAAGGAGTCAATTGGTGCACTATCAACGAAGCTTGAATGCGCAACGATACGTCCATGAAATTCTTCGACCACATGTCCTTCAATTTCGGGATGCCAACAGAGATCTTTTCAATAGGAAAACGACAGACTCCCATTTTGCACAGCTGACCATGCAGTTCCTGACTGCCAATAACATTCAAACCCTTTTCTGACCATCCCTATCTGCAGACATGAGTCCGACTGAGCACCTGTGGGATGAGCTGCTAAGACGTGTTTGTCGCCGAAACGTTGCTTCAGCTAATGATCTTGATCTGTTTCAGGCACTCCAGGAAGAGAAGGCAGCCATCCAACAGTACCACATAAGACATCTGATCGTATCCATGCCCAGGAGATGCCAGTCACTGATACGCGCAAGAGGAGGCCACACACCATACTAACGGGAAAGGCCGACGCTTAAAAACTATCGCGACCCAGATCCAAAAAGAATGACAATTGATTAGTGGAACCCTAAGATATTCTTGTGTGAAATTTGAGTAATTTTACTTACTGCATTACAAAGATGCAGAATGTCAAAATTGTGAGTATGTTTGTTCTTTTCAGTAACTATGGTTTTTTTTTTTTTTTTTGGGGGGGGGGGGGGGGGAGGAGGGGAACGTATATATAACTTGTGTGCATCCTTACACCACTCCTACTTCCAGTTATAATTGAACGCGTCTTTCAGTATATATTCGTCATCATAACCATCATGTAGCAGATCCTTTACAGGAAGTCGCTTTCATTTCTTCATGTTGGAATGCCACCTGGTCCTCTAAACTAAATTGCCACCCGGTAATCTGTCCTGCTTAGAGTGCCATGTACAGGTTGTGTCTATCATCGTGTTGGTCGATCTCTGCCTTTTCTTCGTTGGAATATACCATCAACACAATTCATTCAAAACCAGTATGGCATTTCATGTGGCTAAACTATGTCAGTTTAACAGGTACATTTTTTCAAGACAGTTCCTTTCAATCCTCAGATACTCAGTTTCTTCTTCTGACTTTCTAACTCCTAGTGAAGCATCCAGCTCTCCCCGTGTCGTCTCTAACTTTTTAACGACTCTCTCTAGTTCTATTCTCTATGTGTTTTTGGTCTTCCTTTATTTTCTAGTATGGATTCCAGTAGAAAGGCATTCTAGTTATATTGTTCTAAGTATTTCCTATCGCTAGCCTCTTTTCTTGATGTCTTGGTCCATTGAAACTCATTTTGTTCTCTCCTGAAGCTCTATCGATATTAGTGATTTTATCATACCTTTTAATTGTCTATACTCTGCGCAGGCACAATTTAACGAATGTTTGTAGTCTATTTGTCCTTCTCAGTTTAAAATACATTAAATTAGTATCTCCATAGTAGGCTCTGTCTAGCTAATGTCGCTGCGCAGATCTCGGTGCTTGGTATTTTGAATCAGTTCCACTGATGATATACCTCTCACCAGACCATCATGCATCGTCTCTCTTGGTTTCCCTCTGTCGCATCTACCGTTGACATTTTATTCATGACTGTCGAGTGCGGAAATGCACTAAAATACACCAATACTGACTGAGCAAATAGGACGTCAAAACAATACGTAATGTTGTTAATGAATTGTAATATAAGCATTCGGAGTATAAAGTCTGAAGGAGATAGACGAGTGGTCGTGTCTCAGTGAATCCTTGAGAACGCTCTACCCCGGGACTCCACTAGAAACCTCAGCCGAAAGCTGGTACATTGTTTATTGCGCTTGGCAGGAAGCCGGTTTACTCTAAGGAAGGATTCTCCAGACCGAATCACTAAAGAGGGACATTGCCCTATTCAGACTGCAGAAGAGGAGATCAAAGTCACCGTCCGGACTTTCAAGGTCGGACTGTTGACCTGTCGTTTGAAGATGTCATATGAATTTCTCTAAAGAGTGTGCGTGCGGTAGCCATTCCTATTGTGGCATTGGACTTGATGCCAAGCTGCATTCGATTGTACCTGATTACAATTTCAACAAGGACCTACGCCTCTCAGCACCGGAAACGCACATATTAATGACGATCTTCTCCAACGCCTCTTTTCATGACAAAACGGAAGAATACTGGCTGCCTGAATGATGATGAAGAAAGAAATGATTGCAGTTTTTACTTCTCTGTCATTTGACATTCTTGCAATATGTGCCATCCATTTCAGTCTATTAGCTCGCATGACACCAGGGATCAAAGGTGATTTAAACAGATTATGAATTTCGTTATTGCTTCTCATTCTCCATTTCCCGCTGTTTGCATCTATGATGGGTCCAACGATTTTTCGTAATACTCTGTTTTCGAAAACGTGTAAAAAGGCTTCATCTCCTTTCGTTGACAGTAGTATTACACTAGCGTCTAAAAATACGGAAAGGTACCATGTATGTATGTATGTATGTATGTATGTATGTATGTATGTATGTATGTATGTATGTATGTATGTATGTATGTATGTCTGTATGTATGTATGTATGTATGTATGTATGTATGTATGTATGTATGTATGTATGTATGTATGTATGTATGTATGTATGTATGTATGTATGTATGTATGTATGTATGTATGTATGTATGTATGTATGTATGTATGTATGTATGTATGTATGTATGTATGTATGTATGTATGTAAGTATGTCTGTCTGTCTGTCTGTCTGTCTGTCTGTCTGTCTGTCTGTCTGTCTGTCTGTCTGTCTGTCTGTCTGTCTGTCTGTCTGTCTGTCTGTCTGTCTGTCTGTCTGTCTGTCTGTCTGTCTGTCTGTCTGTCTGTCTGTCTGTCTGTCTGTCTGTCTGTCTGTCTGTCTGTCTGTCTGTCTGTCTGTCTGTCTGTCTGTCTGTCTATATGTATGTATGTTTGTATGTATGTATGTATCTTGAAATACATTTTTGTTTCAGTCATATATAAACAGTTGTACAGACATAATCCTCAGCCTAGAAACATAGGGACATTCTAGCGTCCCTTAAAACATTGTTCTTCAACTTGTGTACACCCGCGGCCCACCACAACAGGAGAAATCGTTTAGCGGCCCTCATGATAGCTACACCAACACAGAAACAAAAACAAATGTAGGCAATATCTTGTTTATTAAATTCGATGTTACATAATTAGAAGCTTCTGCTGATGCTACATATTTTGATTATCATCCTTGAGGTGTTAATCCTACTAGTGCACTCCAGGAAGAGGAAAAAAACTACTTATCATCGTACTCCGTTATATGTTGTGAAGACATACTTGGTAGCCCAGCTAGAATTTTCTGCAGCTCACCATTGGGCCGCAGCCCATCTGCTAAAGAAAGCTACCTTAACTCTGTCAGCCCCAACAGCCAGCACGCCTTGTGGCATTGTCCATGAGTACCTAACAACAATAGATGTTATCTAGTGTTTACCTTAGTTATATTTTTTAAACGTGGATAGTTACTCTAATGTTAAAAGTTATTTGCGTATACTTTACAGGACATTGCAGATCCAACTCCAGCATGTTGTTGGCTGTTGAGGTTTATTAAAGGCAAGTAGACGTCAAGTAGTTTGCTATTGCTTTCTGAAGGTCGGCTTCTTGATACCACTTTCAAAACCAACGCGAACCGCAAGGATGCAGCTGGCATCGAACCCAGCACCTCGGCATTACGAAGCGCATTCGCAACGCCTACAGTAATTTTAATAACCTTAGTGTTTTTGTTGGTTCATATGTAACACTGATGCTCTCACGCGCTGTCCAGGTTGACTGAGACTATTGTTACCTTGAAACTGTCCAGCTAAATCTAATACTTAAAGCAGTGATTTCCAAACTGTGAGCTGCAGCGCCCCAGGTAGCGGCGACCTCTTCACAGGGGGGCCGAGAAATATTGTAAAAACTTCATAATTAATTTAACCAAGAAACGAATAGTCATACTTTTGCTTAGGTTAATGCGCCGTGGAAAAGTTTTTATTGAAAAAAAAAAAAAAAAAAAATCTGCCGCAATCAAGAAAGGTTTGGGAAATACTTAAAAGGTTAAACGATGCCAGCAGCAACAGTAATAATTACCTGGAAAGCCACCATTATATCCTCTTCTGCGTTGTTACCGTAGTAAATCCCTCCACGCCTGGCTATGTATCCTTCCACCTCCTCAAACGATATACTGCCTCTTGCTACAGGCGAACCAGACATGAAATAAAATAATATTATAACATGAAAACAGTACATAATGCTACAAAATGATTAGTACGATTTCAGCTGTCTAATGCATTCAGTTAGCGCCCCCCCCCCCACCCCTTTCCAAAAAAAGACCACACACATGTAAAGTCACACACAAGCAATGTACTCTTCCAAGTTCAATTGCTAATGGTTTGGTTATCGTGAAGTCAACTCACACACAGAGGAACTCGAACAAAGAAAAGCCAAGGGCTCCTGAGCGTACCTAGCACCCCACCCCCCCCCCATTCCCCCCCCCCCCCCCAGTAATTGTATAAAGTGCCCAAGCAGACTCCACTAAAAACATAAAGAAATTATATTTAAAAGTATTTTTTTTATTCGTTTCACATTATTTCAAAAGTATTATTATCGACCATTCAGTAGTCTTATTATTACCGTCTTAAACTGGGATTAGACCTGTTTGGGCGCCCTCCCGGCGTTTTATTTATACAGTTCATATAATTTCAAATGTATTATTATCAACACAGTATTATTGTTTGTTTGTTTGTTTTAGTATCCAGAAGCCATGAGTTGTTAACCCTTAGGCTCGGTATTATGGATATCGCAACCTCTCGGCTTTGATTCCGTTGTAAATACCGTAAATCTGGGAGAAAACGCGCAATCTGGTTTAGCCAACTACGCTAGAGAGCCAGGCATACAGTATTATTATATTGTTATTAGTATTATGCTCTCAAGCTAGGATTAGACCTTTGAGGTACCTTCTCTAAGGCCTAGAAAATATGTGGGGGGAAAAAAAGTGGGGGGGGGGGGGGGGAGAGTACCCAAGGTATTCTTCCTTCCTTGGCGGCTGCTCAGAAATGTTTACAATGAGAGCCCTTCGCTGCTCTGCCAAGATCAATGCAATGACCTAACTACCGCGAGACGTGCTGTGGCATGTCACGTCAATGGTTCGCTCAGCAGCGGAAAGACAGTCTCACAGTTCACGTCGACGAAAGAAAAACTGACCAGCTGCGAAATGAGATGTTTGAGAAAGGCAGGGAACAAAACTAGAGGAGATCGTATGAGAAACTAAGAAATTACCAGAACAAATAGAATAGTGGCTTAGACGTTACAACCGCGCTTTATAATGGCGGGGTACCGGGTTCGAATCCAGCTGCGGGCCTTGCGCTGGTTTCAAGAGTGGTATCGAGAAACCGACCGTCCAGGAAACAATGGCAAACTACTGGACGTAAACTTGTATAGAAAGACCACAACGTCCAAAATGCCAAAATTGGTTCTGCAACTTCCTGTTAAGGAAACGCAACTAACTCAACTTAATAAAACAATATTTAAAACTAATTTCATTTAAAAACGAAGACTGAAACGGTGTAGACATTTAACGAGAGTGAATTCAATGATGCCAGGCATGAATGCGTATACAATTAAACGAGAAACACCAAGAGGTCGTGGACTACCAAGAAGAAAACAGATTGGAAACGTCATTGATATCTTGCGGCTCGTCAACATCCCAGAATATTAGCAACTGAGCTGGCCCTAGTTCGGAAACCGATCATCTGTCAACCTGAGAAGCATAAGCGACAGAAAGCAGAAAATAAACAAAAGAAATAAAGAAAATGCGTCTACATCTCAGGATAGTGTTGGTTTGTAGGCAAGTGTCTACACAAGAAGTGTGTGAGCTCTGGTGATTTTAGTAGTCAGTACAGTCAGTGGTTGTTATTTACAAATTATATCCATGGTTGCGACTTTCCCTCGTTAAAGAAATCCTCTACATTTTTTAGAGACTCCTGCGGATCGTCGCTGATACTATGGAGTTCGTACTTTGTGTTATGCTCTCCGCAGGCGGCTTATTCTTCTGAAAAGGGGTGGGGGGGGGGGGAAGAGAAATCTATATGGTATAAAACCAGCTGCAGTAAAGTTAATTCTTTCGACTTTAAATATAACCTTTACATTAAGTTCAGTGGTCGGGGGGTGGGGGTGGTGGGGTGGGGGGGGGGGGCGCCGTGGTGTAGCGGCTAGACGCTTGCCTGCGGATCGAAAGGTTCTGGGTTCGGGTCCTGGCGGACTTGGACTTTTATCAAAAATTACCTTTTCTCCCAGGTCGGTCAAATCTTGAGTGGATACAATGTACAGTTTTGGGAAGTAAAAACGCCCGCTTTAATGTTGACCAAACCATTGACCAAATGCCATATTGGTCTTCAAGATATAGGTTTAGCCATATATGCCAAATGAGCCTGAAAACATGGAAAGTGTCTTTTACATTTACGTTACCTAAATTTCAATAGTAATTTCACGGGGCACACACAAGGGCAAACTTTAGATTGGCCTGAATGTACTGCATTTGATCACTCAGTCGGTGGCAACGTAAAATCTGTTATTGATACTAATCAAAGTACTTACAGGTGTATTGTAGCGTGTTGTAGCGACTAGTCGCTCAACTGCGGATCGAAAGGTAGTGAGTTCAGGTCCTGACAGAACATGAATTTCTTTCGAAAATAGCCTTGACTCTCAGGTCGCCCATGCCTTAAATGGGTACCAAGTAAAGTCCTGGGAAGTAAAGACGGTCGTGTGATGTTGACCACAAAAACCACTGCGTGCCGAAGAGACGGTAACGAATAACAGAAATTGTCATTTAAACTAGTGACAGTTAATCTAAGTTAACTTTACTTGAAAAGTCTGAGACTTATAAGTTTTCAGTCTCCCACTTTGTTAAATGGAAGTTTCGAGGCAAATTGTTGAGTTATTTAAATAATGCGGATACAAACAATAAATCGCCGAAGCTTTAACAATAAAAATCATCAACCCCCTCCTTTGTGAGCAGACGGAATTTATCGTAAATTTGAAGTTACCCTGGTAAGTCACGTGACTACGGTGAGCTTCCTTTGGCTATGAAATAGACGCAATGTACCGGAAAAAAATCTTTTCGCATTTCAGTTAAACTTATTCAGTTTTGTGCTTTATATATATATATATATATATATATATATATATATATATATATTGATGTAACTCTGTAGTAACGCACCTGATGAGAAACAGCGAAATATGCCTGACTATAAATTGTGCAATGTATTGTTTGTATCCGCATTATTTAAACTCATTACGGAAAACATTGTGTTTAACTATTTGTTGATCATGCGATTGGGAGCTATGTACGGCTTTCTGGCTTAGAGGTTAGCCAGTGCGGTTTCTAGTTTCATGGTCATAAAGTTTGTTTTCCGCGGCGGACGAATAAAAAAAAACGTTCTCATGGATGTCGGACAATGGTACGAGAGTCAAGCCATGGAAGAGACTAGACGCCTCAACAATAATATTCCTGTCATTATTATGGGGACAGCACCATTTGAATTTAAATTTTTTTATAACATATTTTAGCTGTTATCCTTGGCTGGAAGTCTTATTACAGAAAGACATCTATAAGGTCGCTATGGTCAAAACCGGAATTATTTTAACGAGAAAGTCAAAGAAAGAGACTGACTACTTACTTGTAAGCTCCAATTCATGCCTGGCCTCCTCCAAATCCTGTTCAGACGGGTTCCAGCCCAAGCATCGGAGCAGCTCACCCAAGTCTCTAGCCGGGATCTTCCCCTTCCCTGCCTTTTCGAACATAGAGAAAGCTTGCATCAGCTCCGCCTTCTGCTCCTCTGTTAATTCCACTTCTTCAGTACAGCCAGATTTCTGAAGAAAGAAACATAAAGTGAAAAATTGTACCAGACAAACCAAGAAAACAAAATCAAACTAAATAAAAGCATTTAAACATACTCAAATAACCAGTTACAGTCGCTGATATCAATATTAATGTAGCGTATTTATTTCGGACAGTGGTACAACTAGATCCCTAAAAGACGTCCCCTCTGTCGGTGGGTTTAGGTCTGTGTAGGTTTTTTAGGGGGAGGGGGGGAGGGGTGGGGGCGAAGATCCACTGCACCTTAAAAATCGTGTCGTAAACGGCAACTAATCTTTAAAAAGGGTTATTGGAAATCGTATATTTTGTTTAAAATGGGCAGATAACGCAGTCTAGCTGTAAAACAGGACAATACACTCCAACTGCTCTTTTAAGAACGAATGTAGAAGTGGAAGAAAATGCTAATCGGCAGCACTCGATTGTGAAATGTCAGCTATCACATCACCTGTAATTTCTTCATGGGACATTTCATGGTACCCAATCTAGAATTGATTGATATTAGACCTAAGTTTCGCTTGATACCTAAATTGATTCCACTTTATAAGGAATTATTCAAGCAAATAAAGAGTAGACACAAACGAGGCAAATCCTGGATGGGTCGTGCTGTGGATGCCATCGAACATGTTTGCCGCCTAACTGACATTAATTTTGGAAATGAATGGATAATTATGCCTTCCTCTCCAAACATTAATATTACAGCCCACATCACTCTTGATGGAAGCTGTAGAGAGCAGATTCCTGGCATTGTTGACACTTTAGTCAGAACACTGATTGACGAAAAAACAAATGAAGGTGATGCTATAGTTTACACAGATGGGTCAGTAATTAGGGGTAAGCATGGGCCTTCACAGTAAGCTCACAGGGGAAAACCATCAAAGAGATGAAGAGGGCCTTTGCTGTTACAACTAGTAGCTTTTTAATGGAAACTATGGCTTTAGCATGTCTTGGTTCTCAAAAGTTAACAAACGTATGCATTCTTAGTGACTCAATGAATATGCTTACAAAATCCAAGCTGGATTTATCAGGCAAGAATGGAGGGAACAAGCGCGCAGACTGTCTTGCTGACACCGCAGTTGCTATGGCTGGCCCAGTACTAGACAGAAGTAAATGTTATCAATGCCGTGCGCTGCACTTACCGTACCGAGGAGCACGCCAAAGGACCTGACTCCAAATCCCTGTATCGACTGATGGACATGGGGGTGCAGCCTGGAGCTGCAAGAAATGAACATTTCACTAAGGGGACAAGACGTTTCATTAACCACGCAAAACAGGCGTCTTCAGTCGTTTTACACTTGTGGAGCTTTTGAGGAGGAGATCGGAGCACCTATGGATCTGTCCGGAATGCTGTGATGATAATCCTTTCTAATCACTAATCATTACGCTTGATACGGTTTCAAACCTAACACTTTAAACCCACAGGCAAGAGTGAAGCCACCAAGCTGCCGCGGCTCCCAGAAGAGAGCAGTGGATGTGGATATCCACAGTAACCAACCTCCATTTTGTTGTGAGTATCACAAATAAAAACGCCACACTATGGAGACTGCAATTCCTGTTCCCGGGAACTAGTGGCACAATAAACAATCGGCAAATTAAAGAAATCTTTGTGTGGGTTTCGGTTCCTTTGCATGCATGTCATGAAAGGCGACAAATTGTGGATTTTCTTGATGCAAATATTTGGGCCGAAAGGCGCAGTTATCACAGCCTAGCTGCAAACCACAACTTGTTAGCCGCTTCTTCAAGAGCGAACACGTAAGTCCACAAAAGAATATTAGCATTGTCCATACTTCCCTTGCTAATCTCCAGGGGATTGAATGATCTCGAGGTATGGTGTCCCGCCTGACGTGATTGCGAAATGGTGCTTGGCTCACATATACGGATTAGCAAGGTTTAAAGTTTGAGGATTGAGGTTTAAACAACGGATCAACATCATGGCACAAGGGTAGTAACCCCTAAGTGCTCCGTTCTACCTCTAACCCAAGCCTGAGTCCGAAGAATCTCAGCGCATATTTCCAACTGCCAATGGCTTTTTTTTTACGTGCGCAACAACACACACAGACGTCAAATCTTTTTACCCAGAGACCATAGAAAATTACTGTAAGTCCACGTGACAAAATCCCAGCCTTCACCGGGGCATTATCCCAAAACCCCCAGTAGTTGAGGCGGACGCCATGCCTCGAGACCACCCAGCCCCCTGATCCTGTGGGTGTAGTGAGGTTTACACTAGACATGGGTGAGTGGGTGGATGGTTGACGTATACATGTACAGACACATGGATAAACAGAGAGACTTCCAGATGAATGAATACATAGACTGATGGACGTGTAGACTGACAAACAGTCTGTCAAGCAGACTGACAGATTGAAAATAAAGACAGATAATCAGATAAACATAAATATGGAATGTAGAGAGCTTTTTAGACGGACAGTTAGACAGACTGACATTTGGGAGGTAGGTAGAGAGCTTCTCAGGGGGGCAGTCAGACAGACAGCTTTTGAGACTGACATACAGTCAGACAGACTTTTGGATGTAGGTAAAAAACTATTTAGGCAGACAGACAGACAGACAGAAAGATAGACAGTCAGACAAACAGTTGGAAGGTAGGTAGACAGCTATTCAAGGAGACAGACAGGCAGACTGCTATTCAGCAGTCAGGCAAGCAGGCAGACAGACAGACATAAATATGTCATAAATGTGTCAGAATATTTAAAAAAAAAATTAATTGGCTCTGCAACCTGTCCAATGTATTAAAACATCCGCATTGACGTCACATCCCAGACCTGTCTCCCCAGTTTTCAAGAATTCTCAGTAATTCTGTCAATCTCGAAGAGCAATTTCTCCCATGATTGGCATAATTGGATGTCTTTACAAGGAAGAACAGGCAAAGTCCCACTTGTATGGTTGAGGACAAGAGAAATATTACCCAGTGAGGTTAACACCTTCGACTGACTGTAATAAATATTACAAGTGTTTTCAATGATGTTAGGCTTAAACATTTCAAAACAATGTGCGAGAATTTGTTTTTATCTAACTGGATTACCAGTCGCCGTGGCGTAGCGACTAGACGCTCGCGTGCTAATCGGAAGGTCCAGGGTTCGCTCCCTGGCGGAGCCGGCATTTTTTTTTAAAATGACGACTTCCAGTCGACCTAGCCCTAAGGTGGTACCGGGTGCAGTCCCGGGAAGTAAAGGAGGCCGGTGTGATGCTGACCTCATCACTTGATCTTGCGTTGATCGGTCTTTAAAAATATAGATCCAGCACTTTATGCCCTAAAGGCGTCGAAAATGGACCATTACTTTACTACTTACTAATTAGATTACTCGAAATCTAGATTAGTGATTTTTTTTTCTGCTTCCTAATAGAAGAGAGCGTATAGTTTGTGTGTTGGTCTGTTTGTCTAACTGCATGTCTAATTGCCAGCCTGCCTGTTGATCTACGAAGAGTCTATAAGCCTCATGTCTAGTTATTTGTCAGTCTAAATGACTTTTTCTTCCTAGTAGGCCAGTAACTTGTAAGTCGTGGACAATCTCCAAGTACTTAAGAAGAAAAAAACAAGGTTTTTGAGCTGAAATGCTAAAGATTCTCAGAATACCAAGGACAGAGAAGAGAAGAAATACTGGTATTTTAAAAGATCTGAATATCAAGGAAGATTGGCTAATAAACGGCATCTTGTCTCAGAAGCTGAAATACTGTGGTCATATCAAGCGTCATGGCGAATTAGGAAAATAATAGCAGAAGACATGGTACCAGGAAGGAGGGGCAAAGGTCGACCAACATAAATATGGGCACAGGATATCATAGAATCCTCGAAGATGAAAGAGCACGAGATGGGAGAGCTGGCGACAGACCGAGTATCTTTCATGCAGACCGTGATGAAAGCGACGTTTGCTATGTGTTTGTTCGATTGTATCTGTCTGACTTACTATACTTTTTAAAAATGATTGACTGTGTGTCCAACATTTTGCGTGCCTGTCTGAGTGAATGATTCTCTTTCTGTTTATCTTTCTGATTGATTAACCGATTGTCTGTCAATGTGTAGCCGGATTGTTAGTCTCTAATTACGGTTTATTGTTTCATACGTAATACCAAATTATTTGTCGGTACTAAATCTATCTATCTATCTATCTATCTATCTATCTATCTATCTATCTATCTATCTATCTATCTATCTATCTATCTATCTATCTATCTATCTATCTATCTATCTATCTATCTATCTATCTATCTATCTATCTATCTATCTATCTATCTATCTATCTATCTATCTATCTATCTATCTATCTATCTATCTATCTATCTATCTATCTATCTATCTATCTATCTATCTATCTATCTATCTATCTATCTATCTATCTATCTATCTATCTATCTATCTATCTATCTATCTATCTATCTATCTATCTATCTATCTATCTATCTATCTATCTATCTATCTATCTATCTATCTATCTATCTATCTGTCTGTCTGTCTGTCTGTCTGTCTGTCTGTCTGTCTGTCTGTCTGTCTGTCTGTCTGTCTGTCTGTCTGTCTGTCTGTCTGTCTGTCTGTCTGTCTGCCTGCCTGCCTGCCTGCCTGCCTGCCTGCCTGCCTGCCTGCCTGTCTGTCTGTCTGTCTGTCTGTCTGTCTGTCTGTCTGTCTGTCTGTCTGTCTGTCTGTCTGTCTGTCTGTCTGTCTGTCTGCCTGCCTGTCTGTCTGCCTGCCTGCCTGCCTGCCTGCCTGGCTGGCTGTCTGTCTGTCTGTCTGTCTGTCTGTCTGTCTGTCTGTCTGTCTGTCTGTCTGTCTGTCTGTCTGTCTGTCTGTCTGTCTGTCTGTCTGTCTGTCTGTCTGTCTGTCTGTCTGCTAAATACTCACCTATCTACCTGTGTCATATAACTTATTAACCTCTCAGTACTTATTAACATACATGACACTGAATCACGCGGCAAGAAAGTTACCAGAATACTTTCTGTTTGAGTTCGATTGTGAAGCCATCACAGAGTTGTAAATGAGACAAGC